CCTTTCAGCACTGGAAAGAGCACTACCATTTGCTCCTCAACCAAAACTCCGATGTGGATGTCCTGACTACCCAGCAGGTCTCTCAGCATCCAGAGTTGACTCACCTCAGCTATCCTCCATCCCTGGATGAGGTAGCTACTGCCATCAAACAGATGTGAAGAATAACAAAACCTCAGGGCCTGATGTAAATCCCCAGCTGAGGTGGGTATGGAAGCAGGGGACCCTCAGCTTCAACCGTCTCCACTCAACTGGAGAATGTATGGGAAAAGAAGGAAATCCCCCAAGCTCTTGAAGACGCCTCCATCGTCAATATTTATAAGAATGACGGAGATTGGTCAGACTGTGGCAAATACCATGGGCTCTCGCTGCTGTCCGTAGTTGGCAAGATTACCGCCCGAGTCCTCCTTAACAGACTTTTTCCTGAGGCAGAAAACTTCCTCCCGAATCTCAATGTGGCTTTAGACCATCACGTGGCACCACTGACATGATCTTTGCTGCCCGCCAGATACAGGAAAAGTGCAGAGAACAGCATCGTGACCTGTACATGGCGTTCATCAACCTAACCAAGGCCTTCGACTCGGTCAACAGGGAAGCCCTTTGGTGGACCCTCAGCCGGTTTGCCTGCCCAACAAAATTCATCGCCATTGTGAGGCAACTCCACGATGGCATGAACGGCAGTGCCCTGCACAATGGTACCCAGTCTGAGTTCTTTCCCATCTATATGGGAGTAAAACAAGGATGTGTGCTGGCACCAACTCTTTTTTCCATTTTATTGGCTGCCTTCCTTTATTGTGCCAGTGCCAATTTAGCCAGCGGGGAGGACATCGAGTACCGGGTGAAGGGTCTTTTCAACATAAGACGACTCCCGGTGAGAACAAAGGTGTCGGCAGCTTCCATTACTGAACTTCAGTATGCAGACGACCTCACCCTTGTTGTTCACACTGAACTCGACCTACAGGAGATCCTGAACACCTACCCAGATGCATATGCACACTTTGGCCTTGAGGTGAATGTACGTAAGACACAGATTCTCTTTCAACCTGCACCTGGTTCAGCCACACCTCCACCATCCATCCAGCTTAACGGTACTACCCTCTCTAATGTTACCCACTTTCGGTATCTCGGCTCTCACCTGTCCACCACCGCAGACATCAATGAAGAGATTCAGCATCAGATCAGATGTGCATCTCAAGCCTTTGGTAGACTCCGAAACCGTGTCTTCTGCTGTAGGGAGCTGAAATTAACTACAAAGTTACACGTATATCGAGCAGTGGTCCTCACCACCCTGTTATGTGGCAGCAAGACATGGGTCACATACAGGAGGCACCTCAAGGCACTTGAAAACTTTCACCAACGTAGTCTACATTCCATCCTCCATGTTCGCTGGGAAGACAAGAGAACAAATGCCAGTATTCTTGCTGACACCAACTGTAGGAGCATCGAGGCTACAATTTTCCATGAACAACTACGCCGGACTGACCATGTTACCCGCATGGATGACAGTAGACTGCCAAAGACAAACCTGAAAAAGTGCCAAATTGACCCCTTCACCTGGGATACGATTACTCCACATTGTAACGCTTGAAGGAGCACCACACGAGAAGGTGTCATTACTTTCGAGTTATCCTGACTGCAAACCGAGGCAGACAAGCGCCAACTCCGGAAATACTCTGCCACCGCCCCTCCCTCAGTAGATGTGGCCCTTCACATGTGCAACATCTGTGAACAACTCTGCCCGTCCCGTATCGGCCTCTAGTCACCTCAAAGCTCAACAATGAAGGTGATATCTTTAATAACTCATATCATTGTATTATAGCTGGATGATCGTCATACTCGATTCCGAGTGACAGTAAAGTAGTAGTAGTTGTGTGTGTATGTATGTGTGTGTGTTAGTGTGTATGTTTGTATGTATGTTAGTGTGTATATGTGTGTTATTAATTTTATGTAAACTTTATTTCTCTTAATAGGTTTTTTATTGTATATCTTTGCTATAATATTGTATTGTTAAAATGACTGTTTCTCGGTTAACTTAAGATATATAACAATTTAGGTTAGGTTAGGCTTGGTTCGGTTGCATTTAGGTTAAGTTAGGTTGGATTAGGTTAGTTTCGGTAGTATTATGCCAGGTTAGGTTATGTAAGCACTCGAGTGGTTAATGTTAAGGTGTAATAAGCTGGGGTTAATCTTGGCCATGTTACAGATCACGCTGGTTGATGGTTCGGGAGGCGTGGTGTTCACTAGTAACTACAAGGAGAAGCCGCTCAGAGATGGTGACGACGACCCGGATTTTGTCCACGCCTTCAATGGCTACGCTCCTGCAGGTCGGTGTTGGTTAGGTTAGGTTACGTTACGTTAGATTTGGTCAAGTTAGGTTAGGTTTGGTTTTGTTTGGTTAGGTCAGGTCAGGTTTGGTCAAGTTAGGTTTTGTTTGGTTTGGTTAGGTTAGATTAGGTAAGGTTAGGTTAAGTTTGACTTGGTTAGGTACGGTTTACATTAAATCAGTGTGTGTGTGTGTGTAGATCAACAGAAGACTCATGTAGCACACTGTATATAAAGTGTTACATACAGGCCTACAATACAGTCAATCTTGTAGTAGTAGGAAACATTATAACACAGATGTAGTACAGGAAAGAGAATCAAGATCTATTACAAAAACTGTATTATTTTAAGTATCAACATAGTGGTAGGTACAGTATGTGGCAGCATGGTGGTAGGTACAGTATGTGGCAGGATGGTGGTAGGTACAGTATGTGGCAGCATGGTGGTAGGTACAGTATGTGGCAGCATGGTGGAAAGGTACAGTATGTGGCAGCATGGTGGAAAGGTACAGTATGTGGCAGCATGGTGGTAGGTACAGTATGTGGCAGCATGGTGGTAGGTAGGTGGGGCAGTATGTGCAGCATGGTAGAAATGTGGCAGCATGGTGGTAGGCACAGTATGTGACAGCATGGTGGTTGCACAGTATGCAGCATGGTAGGTACAGTATGTGGCAGGATGGTGGTAAAGGGTATGTGCAGCATGGTGGTAGGTACAGTATGTGGCAGCATGGTGGTAGGTACAGTATGAGGTGTGATGGTGGTACAGTAGGGTGGCAGCATGGTGGTAGGTACAGTATGTGGCAGCATGGTGGTAGGTACAGTATGTGGCAGGATGGTGGTAGATACAGTATGTGGCAGGATGGTGGTAAGTACTCTGTAATCTCTAATTCCATGTAGTGTAGTTTTATTACAGACACCCAAACACCGTCCTCATAAACAATGTGTAAATGAAGCACTACTCTGACAACACTGGTACTGTGGTGTAAATGAAGCACTACTCTGACAACACTGGTACTGTGGTGTAAATGAAGCACTACTCTGACAACACTTGTACTGTGGTGTAAATGAGGCACTACTCTGACAACACTGGTACTGTGGTGTGAGACACTACCCTGACAACACTGGTACTGTGGTGTAAATGAAGCACTACTCTGACAACACTGGTACTGTGGTAAATGAAGCATCATTTCCGACAACACTTGTACTGTAAAATTAGCACCACTCTGACAACACTGTACCAGGTGTAAATGAAGCACTACCTGACAACACTGGTACTGTGGTGTAATGAAGCACTACTCGACAACATTGGTACTGTGGGTGTAAATGAGGCACTACCCTGGATAACATCAATGTGGTGTAAATGAAGCACTACTCTGACAACACTGGTACTGTGGTGTAAATGAAGCACTACTCTGACAACACTTGTACTGTGGTGTAAATGAGGCACTACCCTGACAACACTGGTACTGTGGTGTAAGTGAGGCACTACCCTGACAACACTGGTACTGTGGTGTAAATGAGGCACTACCCTGACAACACTGGTACTGTGGTGTAAGTGAGGCACTACCCTGACAACACTGGTACTGTGGTGTAAATGAAGCACTACTCTGACAACACTGGTACTGTGGTGTAAATGAAGCACTACTCTGACAACACTGGTACTGTGGTGTAAATGAAGCACTACTCTGACAACACTGGTACTGTGGTGTAAATGAAGCACTACTCTGACAACACTGGTACTGTGGTGTAAATGAAGCACTACTCTGACAACACTGGTACTGTGGTGTAAATGAAGCACTACTCTGACAACACTGGTACTGTGGTGTAAATGAAGCACTACTCTGACAACACTGGTACTGTGGTGTAAGTGAGGCACTACCCTGACAACACTGGTACTGTGGAGTAAATGAAGCACTACTCTGACAACACTGGTACTGTGGTGTAAATGAAGCACTAATCTGACAACACTTGTACTGTGGTGTAAATGAAGCACTACTCTGACAACACTGGTACTGTGGTGTAAGTGAGGCACTACCCTGACAACACTGGTACTGTGGTGTAAATGAAGCACTACTCTGACAACACTGGTACTGTGGTGTAAATGAAGCACTACTCTGACAACACTGGTAACTGTTAAGTGGTGTAAATGAGGCACTACCTAACCGGATCTAGCCAAATGTAACCTAACCTAACCAAATTTAACTTGCCTTAACCTAGTCAAAATAGTGTCATTTTTCTGTGACTTTTCCTCCCTCCCGGTTACCACAGTCTCATGTTATTCCTCGCCACAGGGAGTGTATCGTCAGAGGCAGGGCGGGGTGTAGTCTACGTCAACTATGGTCGTGTGGAAGACTTCGACAAGCTGGAGGAGTTGGGTGTTAATGTATCAGGCTGTATCGCCATCGCTCGCTACGGCAAGATCTTCAGAGGCAACAAGGTGATACTTCCCCCTTAACGTCTCAGTATTATTATTATTATTATTTGTCTGTGAACATCTCTCCCGGCGCTCGTATCTGGATCTCAGAGTAAACGTTTTTGTTTTCGCTCCAACTCTCCGCCATCTCACTCCTGTGTTGTACTCCGCGAAGATGTGAATAATCATGAAATTATTTGTATATTTTCTTGTCTGTTTCATAGCTCTTACTTGTCGTCTGTGGTCTTTTTTTTTGTATGCGTTGCTTAGAGTTCACCTGGCCTTGTGTTCCCTTATCCCCAAACACACAAACACTGTATCTCAGTGACTGTAGCCTAGATATATTTATCCTTTCCCCCTCAGACATGCCGCTTGATCTCACTTTTGCTTTTACTTTTATCTTCTTTACCACTGATCGGCTCGTTAGCCGCTTGGGCGATCGGTCACATCTCTGTCACGCACTGTTGACAAGTACTTGGCATGTACTGGCTCTCTGTTACGCACTGTTGGCAAGTACTGGCCATGCACCAGCTCCTGAATGTACCTGAACCTGCTCCAGTGTTGGTCAAGTCTGGTCTTGAAAGAGCTCACACTCGGTGCCGTCACAACACTCTCTGGTAGATTGTTCCAAGAGTTCACAACTCTCACTCTGAAAAAGTTTGCCCTCACAGTTTTCTGGACTTGCGGCTTCTTCAATCTTGTACTGTGACCCCTTGTGGGGCGAGCGTCCGCCAGCTCCAAGTAAGGACACTTAACTGAGTAGTGCCCCTTGAGATGCTTATATTCCTCAATTAGGTCGCCCCTTGCACGTCTGTAGTATAAGCTAGGCAAGTTCAGGCGCTCCAATCTCGCAGGGTAGCTGAGGTGCCGAAGTGCAGGCACCAGTCTGGTGGCCCTCCTTTGAACATTTTCAACCAACTGACAGTCCCTAGCATATCTCGGGGACCAGACGGGGTGACAATACTCCAGATGGGGAAGCACTTCACTCTTGAAGATCGTTACGAGGCGCACTTACTAACACCACCCTTCCCCCCTCGCACATGTCCCTTGATCTCACGCACTCAGTAACACCACCCTTCCCGCCTACAGCTCCTTCATGCCCAAGAACGCGGGGCTAAGGGCATGATCCTGTTCTCTGACCCCGGGGATGTAGCGCAGGAAGGCGTTGCTGATGATGACGTGTACCCCTATACGTGGTGGCTGCCGGGGACTGGTATGCAGAGAGGAACAACTTACATGGGTAGTGGTGATCCACTGACCCCTGGCTGGTCTTCTACAGGTAGGTACTGATGAATGTAACCTGGAATTAGAGATAGTATAGACGAAGTGAAGTGGGTTAAACATGCATTGGAGATAAATACATTGGTGAGTTATACATTTTTCGAGATGTCACTTTCCTTATACAATTTACGAGATGTCACTTTGTTTATACAATTTACGAGATGTCATTTTCCTTTTACAATTTACGAGATGTCACTTTGTTTATACAATCTACGAGATGTCACTTTGTTTATACAATTTACGAGATGTCATTTTCCTTTTACAATTTACGAGATGTCACTTTATTTATACAATTTACGAGATGTCATTTTCCTTTTACAATTTACGAGATGTCACTTTGTTTATACAATTTACGAGATGTCACTTTCCTTTTACAATTTCCAAGATGTCAGTTCTCCTCTCGATAGATGACAGAATCAACAATAAGTTTAATAATATGACTCTGGGTTAATGTGAAGGTGTGTAAATTAAATATGAAGAAGTACTGAATATTTATATAACATTAATTACTCTATCTTGTCTCGCCTCCCAGCCAATGCCTACAGGTTGACGATGGAAGATGCTGACCTGCCCAAGATACCCTGCCAGCCTATTGGATATGACGATGCCCGGGTTATACTTGAGTATGTTATTGTTGTGTGTGTGTTACATTCTCCAAAAATTGTCTATTTACTTCCATAACATCTAGGGATAAACAAACTCATAGGCTCCTAAAAAAAAATAACCCCTGAGAATATATCAATAAACAACACGCATTTCTGTCAAAAAATTTCTGCCAATATATTTTTTAACCATAATAGATTACTATATATAATTCATAGTGTAAATGAGAAAAATTATAGGTCTTGATAAAATCTCTATCAAACACCTTGAATTATATTAGATTTCATTATAAGACGATATTTAAAACGACAGGTAAAATTTATTCATTGATGTAGTAATTTTTATCTTGACACTCAGAGGAGATTCTTCAGGGCTGTGTGAAGGAAAGGGCTGTTTCTAGACTCATTCTAATAGTTCAGAGACTCGTTCTAATAGCTCAAAGACTCATTCCGTCAGTTAAGAATCTTTGCATGTAGAGGACCTTTATTTAAGCATGTATTTAGATCTTTGGAAAATGAACAGTAATTCTTGTATAGAGTTGGTACCTGAACATCGGGTTGTCTTAAACTGACAGAAATTCTCCTTCAGCTCGTAAGTCAGTCAGTCAGAGTATCCATTCATCAAGGTAAATAATATTAATAAAAGTACTTTGTTATTTTGTGAGAATATACCGAATATACCTTTAGATTGAGTATTTTCCCTCCTTCAGGAAGATGGGAGGTATGGCAGCTCCTGACGAGGCTTGGAAGGGCGGTCTAGATGGCTTGGCATATAACCTGGGCCCTGAGCTGTTGGACGAGTACTCTGGCTACACCCTACACCTGGACACACACAACACCTTTCAGCAGTACACCTCTTATAATGTCATCGGGACAATCAAGGGCGAGGTGGAGCCAGGTGAGTGTGTAGTGGGGGAGGGAGTAGGGATGGGAAAGAGGGAAGGGTAGGGTGAACAATGAGGGTGGATGGGACAGAAACAAGTTGAAGGAGAGAGAAGTAGGAGGAAAAGAAAGTGAGGGTGAGGATTGAGAGAGGTAGAAAGGTTGTCTGTTATGCACGTCTGTTATTTGTTATGCACAGCTGTTCTCTGTTATACACACCTGTTATTAAGTACACCTGTTCTATAATATAACCAACACTGTCTTATCTCAAACTCCTCCTGCTCTTACTCCCTTTCTATCTATCTCACTGGGCCATCATCCACAGATCGCTATGTGCTGATCGGGAACCACCGCGACGCTTGGGGGTTCGGCGCCTCAGATCCATCCAGTGGCACGGCTCAGATACTGGAGACCGCTAGAGTGATGGGGCAGCTCATGGCAGATGGTTGGTGGTTATGTTTTGTGTCGGTGGGAGGATAGTTTTGGGTGTTGATTTCTCTGTTTGGATTATTTAAAGGTTAGGTGTTGTCTAGTTTATTTTGATCGGGTGTTGGTTAATCTAATCCTAATCTTATCGAATTGAACTTAATCTAACCTAATTGAACTTAATCTAATCTAATTGAACTTAATCTAACCTAATTGAACTTAACGTGACGTAACCTAACCTAACCTAAATCCCAGGTAGCATTAGAGTGGCTTAATATAATCTTCAGGTGATAAACTCCACAAATAATCCCTTTATGTTTGTAAGAAATGAGTCCACCTCTTAATTCGATGACCTCCCCGGCAGGATGGAGGCCTCGCCGGACACTGGTCTTCTGCAGTTGGGGAGCCGAGGAGTATGGTCTGATTGGCTCTACTGAGTGGGTCGAGGTGAGTCTTGATAGGCAGTCTTGTGATCAGATAGGCAGAAACACCCATACAAACATGCACAAACACTCCTCTACACACACACACACACACACACACACACACACCACAAAATATATTTTTTTTTTTTTTTCTTTTATCCTCAACTGATCGGCTTGTTAGCCGCTTGGGCGATCGGTCACGACTCTTTTCCTTTATATTCTTCACCAAAAGGTCGGCTCGCTAGCCGCCCGGGCGATCGGTCACGTCTCTGTCACGCACTGTTGGCAAATACTGGGCATGCACCGGCTCCTGAATGTACCTGAACCCGCTCCAGTGTTGGTCAAGTCTTCTCTTGAAAGAGCTCACACTCGGTGCCGTCACAACACTTTCTGGTAGATTGTTCCAAGAGTTTACAACCCTCACTCCGAAAAAGTTTGCCCTCACGGTTTTCCGGACTTGCGGCTTCTTCAATCTTGAGCTGTGACCCCTTGTGGGGCGAGCGTCCGCCAGCTCCAAGTAAGGACACTCAACTGAGTAGTGCCCCCTGAGATGCTTATAAACCTCAACTAGGTCCCCCCTTGCCCGTCTGTAGTATAAGCTAGGCAAGTTCAGGCGCTCCAATCTCGCAGGGTAGCTGAGATGCCGAAGTGCAGGCACCAGCTTGGTGGCCCTCCTTTGAACATTTTCAACCAACTGACAGTCCCTAGCATATCTCGGGGACCAGATGGGGTGACAGTACTCCAGATGGGGAAGCACTTCACTCCTGAAGATCGTCACGAGGGACGGACCGTCTAGATATCTGAACGACCTTCTTATAAGACCCAATAATTTATTTGCCTGATTTACCTTCTTCTCACAATGGCCCGAGAACTTCAGCTCATTGTCAACATACACACCTAGGTCCTTCTCACACACAGTCTCAACTAGTACATTTTCTTCATCCCGTTGGGACATATGGTACGCCTCCTTACCGTTGGTACGCCCCAGGTGCATCCTCTTACACTTCGTGACATTGAATCTCAGCAGCCATTCCTTCGACCATTCCTGGAGCCCACAGAGGTCCTTCTGCAGCTCTTCACAGTCCGCTTGGTTCTTAATTTCCCGAAATAACTTGCCATCATCGGCAAACATTTGTATGGAGGAGTGTACAACGTCAGGCATATCATTTATGAAACAAACAAACAACAGCGGGCCCAATACACTACCCTGCGGTACCCCACTTGTTACAGGTACAGATGACGATTTCGTGCCATTAATCACCACACATTGCTTGCGGTCATGTAGAAAGTCTTCTATCCACGCTAGGACATTTCCCCGAATTCCGTACCCTTCCAGTTTGATTTTCAGCCTTTCGTGGGGTACACTGTCGAAAGCCTTGGCAAAATCTAGGTAAATATTGTCGATATTACCACCCGTTCTAGAATATGGGTCCAAATATCCAATACCTTGAGCAATTGTGTCAAGCAAGAGCGCCCCGGCATAAAACCGTGTTGGCAATCTTTTACAAGGTTGTTTCGTAGTAGATGTTCCATCGCTGCATCTCTGATAATACTCTCAAGTACTTTACATATTATGCTGGTCAGGCTCACCGGTCTATAGTTGTTCGTGGAGTGCCTATCGCCCTTCTTGAAGATAGGACTCACATAAGCCACTTTCCATTCACTGGGGACCATTTGTTCATCCAGGCATTTACAAAACAGAATCTTCAGGGGCTCTGCAAGCTCGTTGCACAGCTCCCTTAGCACTCTAGGATGCACCATGTCAGGTCCAGGACTCTTATGGACCTTTAGCCTGGACAGTTTATTTCTAATACCCTCTTCTGTGAACACAATGTGGGTCAGTGCTGTGTCGAACTGTCTGTCCTCAAACGCAGGAAGGTTAGTTGCATCCTCTCTTGTGAACACTGAGGAAAAGAAGCTGTTCAATGCCTCAGCTTTATCCTGGTCAGAATCTGCGTAACTACCATCTTCAAGCCTCGGGTCTGATACTCCTACTCGCGTTTTCAATTTCGACTTTGCATAGCGGTAAAACGCCTTTGGGTTTGACTTGACCTCGCGTGCAACCAGCCTTTGGAACTCCTTTTCAGCCCTCCTACACTCTATCTTTGCTTGGTTTCTGGCTCTTGCATACATCCTCCTGTCTTGCTCATCGTTTGACCCAACCCACGTCTTGAATTTCTGGGTTTTCTTCTTAATTTTGTCGACCGCCGCATGGTTCATGTGTAGGGATCCCCTCGTATTCCTAGAAGCACTGGGTTTGGTCTTGGGTATATATTTATCGATCAAATGGGTCATTTTACAGACAGCATACACATACATAATATGAATACTGAATATACTACACAGCATAATGTATAGTATACCCTTGAAATATATCCTCCACTCACATAGCACAAAGTAGGTGTTATTAGTGTGAACAATGAACATTAGTATGAACAATGAACAATGATTTGAACAGCACAAGTATCTGTTTCAGGGTCCTTCTTTGTAATAGGGTGATGTATATATTGTTTCACCCTGGCTCAAACTTCCATCCCCTCACACCTCCACCCCGTCACACCTCCACCCCGTCACACCTCCACCCCGTCACACCTCCATCCCCTCACACCTTCACCCCGTCACACCTCCACCCCGTCATAATAATAACTGTTCACTGTGTTCCTCCCTCCTACAGGAACACGTGGAGAAGCTACAGGAGCGGAGTGTCATGTACCTGAACACAGACACATGCGCCTCTGGGCCGATCCTACACGTGCCAGGCAGCCCCCTACTCTGGGACGCCATCACCGACATCACTAAAATGGTCTGTTTACTGTCTGGTCTCCTGTTCTCTCTCTCTCTCCATTTTCTATGTTAATATAGGCATTTCCACCTACATAATGTCAGTTGATATCCAGAGCTGTGTTACTGTCTACCCCCTATCCAGAGCTATGTTACTGTTTGCACCCCTTCTATATACTGTCTATCTTCCCCCCCTAACTTCTGTCAAATTAAAAGTAAATGCCGTCTATATCTGTCTAACTTGTGTTCATCCTCTGCAGGTGCCGGGAGTGAGGCAAGGACCCACGGTGTATGATGAACTGAAGGACTATTATACAGCTATGAATAAAACCTCTATTGAGTAAGTGTGTGGGGGGGGGAGAGAGGATATGTGGAAGGAGGAAGAGAGTGTATGAAGAGGAGGGAGGGAGGGAGGGAGGAAGTGTGTGTAAGGAGGGTGGGAGGGAGTGATCAATGAAGCAGTCTGTGTAGATTGTTTAGAACATTTACTTGTCCACGAATATTTTTTTTTTTTTTACTTGACAAATTTTGGGATTTTTTTTTTATGGGAAATTATAAATAAACATCTTAAATCGTCAAATTTATTGTGTGTATCAATTCACAGATCACTTGTGTCTGTCTACAGTAAATGGTATCACTGGTGGTAACACTTGTCATGTGAGGTCATAACTCCTGTCACTTCATGTCTACAGCCTCTCAGCTTGTGGATTCCTTTGAAGTGTTGACAACTTGACTGACTGACTAAAGGCAGGTTAGCAGCTTAATGTAGAGTTAGTTAAGTTACGTGCACCGGACATAGGTCACTAATCCTGGTACATTGATGACCTCTCTGCTTATACATGTAGGGTGAGGTTTTTGCCTGCTGGCCAAGGACGTGTATGTGATAAGCAGGAATAAAGTGTGTGAGGGAAGTAGGGTAGAGGTGGGGAGGGTGAAGGAAGAGTAAGGGAGAGGAGAGAAAGACAGGTAATTAATAATAATAAAGCTGATTATTTCAGCAATATTTTTTTTCAAGGATAATCAATTTCTATGATAGACAAATGACTTGGAATAAAAGATGTGTTCCTTGCCTTTATCTCATCCCCAGGATGACAACACTGGGGTCAGGTAGCGACTATGCACCCTTCTCCTTCTACTGCGGCATCCCCTGCCTCGACCTGTGGTTCAGAAGGGACAAGGTAAACCATGTCTTCGTATGTGTCACTTTTGTAATTTTTTTTTTCAGATTTTAATTCGTTTATATCCATTATACTTCTCTCAAGCCTTATACCACGTAAAGCAACATGGTCAGAAACAAGGTCAAATAGACACAAATATTTCTCTTCATTCAGTATTATTCCTTCGTACTTAATCCTGTAAAAAATGTGTTCTACTATGGGGCTTCACTTCCATAACAAGGCCTCAACGCTGGTGTGTCCCTGGATATATAGATACAGTATGTAGTAATGTGAGTGTGTACCAACTTATATTTTTACCCTAACAGTAATACAGTGCTGTTTTATACTTCTCTTATCAAGGGTTATTAAAGAAGTTTGTATTTATCATTACAGAATAAGAACGAAATCTCCATCTACCCATCCTACCACACTGGCTACGAGACCTTCTACATGGTGGATCACAACGTAGATCCAGGGTTCAGGATCCACCAGGGCTGCAGCAGACTGGCTTCCCTAATGCTCAGGTTCTTCGCTGATTCGGCCCTCATCCCTTACAGCCTGGAGCAGCTCCCCAAGACCATTAAGGAAGGGATCGACAGTTTTAAAAAGAATGGGAAGCGGGATGAATTAATTAAGATTTATGAGAATTATGGTAAATTTGTTTTATGATGTTTTCTGTTCTTTGTGTGTGTGTGTGTCTTGTTGGTGAATGGTTGTGATGTACAGTATTACCCCGCCTAACGCGGTTTCACTTAACGCGTTTTTTCATATACGCGGTGCCTAGCCAGAGCTGAACTTTCACTTAACACGGATTTTTTCCACATATACGCTGTGAGTGTCTGGCTCGAGACGCTATTTTTAGATTTGCCCACTCGCCACCCTGCCTGACTGCCTGTTTTAGCTCATAAATTTCATACAAATTACCCGGCCAGAATATAATTTACATTGCTGGAATTCTTATAATTTGGTGATCATTTTGAATATAAACATCATATATTTTGCATTAGACATACAAATTTTAGATAAAATGTTTTCTCTGAGTAAATATGTTATCTTTTGTGCAAAATATATGACATTTATATTCAAAATATTCCTGGTCTTACAAGGAATCCAGCAATGTCAATTATATTATCCTAACTTTAGTTTGAGGTATTATTTATTACTAAAAAGTTAAATATTCTGGTTTTCCCACACATCTCCTTGGGACGGTTGGTGGGGGGTGGGGGGGAGGGAGGGACCGACTGACCATCTGTTACCCTGTGAAGAATATTTTTTTTTTTTTATTAACTGAAGATATTTGTTTTAGCTCATAAAATTCATACAAATTACCCGGTCAGAATATAATTTACATTGCTGGAATTCTTGTAATTTGATGATCATTTTGAATATAAACATCATATATTTTGCATTAGACATACAAATTTTTAGATAAAATGTTTTCTCTTAGTAAATATGTTATCTTTTGTGCAAAATATATGACATTTATATTCAAAATATTCCTGGTCTTACAAGGAATCCAACAATGTCAATTGTATTATCCTAACTTTAGTTTGAGGTATTATTTATTAAAATTTAGTGGTTTTCCCCCAAAAATTTCTCAGAGAGGGAAGAGCCAGCAGTGTAGTGTGAGAAGAGGGGGAGGGAGTTGAGTCCATTATTTGAATGGACATTAACTTGGCGACTGTATTTCTCTATTTCTCTTAAGTATTAATTGTGTGCATGTACCATCATAAAATTAAGATGTTATTTTTACTACAACATAGTTATGTGTCTTCAAAAAGTGGAGTTTGGGGGTCGGGCTGGTTTCTATTGGAATTAATCCCATATGTTTTGTTGTTCACTTAACGCGGGACCCTCTGGGTTCTATTGACCGCGTTAAGTGGGGTACAACTGTATATTTTTTGTAAAATTTATGTTTTGTGGGAGAAATATTAAATTAGGCTAGTTACTTCCCACTAAACCTGCCTGCTGTTGGAAGGGTAATAATCATCACTAGAGAAGGCTTTGCCAACAACACACCTTGCTGCTCCCATGATGATACTGTACTCCTCATGTGTGATTATCTTATATGTCTACAACCCAATAATAGGATTGAAAAGGACTAAAAGATAGATGGCAGCTGGGAGAGAGAAGCTATAACATGTGTAACTAGTATATTGCCAGATCTGTGGTTGATTTGCATTTAAAGGTTAGAATAAAATGTCAGTTTGTCTACTTAAGCAAAAACTGCTGTGAAATAACTAAGTTTCCTCAAGATTATTATTACTGTATTGTTATTGGGAATTAGCAATAGGATTTGGTTCTATGGCTCTCATTGAAACCAATACCAACAAAATAAACTATGATGAACAATACAATTTCTTATTTGTATTTTAGGGCCTAACCTACGACATCAGACGGAGAAAACTTGTTTGGGCAGAGACCGTTGGAGACAAATTTGATGATAAAAGCCAATGCCACTTTGTCAGCCTAGCCAATGGGGTAAAGGAACCTCAGGAGCTTTTCAACTTTGAAAATTGTTTCCCATATTCTGTAGCAATTGGTGACGAGTATATATATTGGGCAGATTGGAGCCAGCAGGGTATTATGCGGGCATCACTTATTGACCCCAAGGATGTTGTGAAGCTTGTCCATACCCCTGCTGTTGGTGTCGAAAGCAATAAGCGTCATGGTGTTTATGGTCTTGCACTGTTAAATGGCCTCACTGAAGAATCTACCACGGATCTATGTACAGATACAAGCAAGATAAATTACGAGAAGCAAATTGATAAATTAAGATTCCAGGGGCCTGGAACTGAAAAATTATCCCCTGAACCTTTAGATGTGGAATCACCTGTAGAGAGAACCAATGATGATGGTGGACACAGCACAGATTCTGTAGATGTGGAATCACCTGTAGAGAGAACCAATGATGATGGGCATAGCTCAGATTCTGTAGATGTGGAATCACCTGTAGAGAGAACCAATGATGATGGTGGATACAGCACAGATTCTGTAGATGTGGAATCACCTGTAGAGAGAACCAATGATGATGGTGGATACAGCACAGATTCTGTAGATGTGGAATCACCTGCAGAGAGAACCAATGATGATGGTGGATACAGCACAGATTCTACAGTGACTTCCATGAGCTCTGCAGAGAATAATGTAGAAATAGTAATAGATCACCATGTTATAAAGAATGAACCAAAATTAGGAGAAGTTGAACCAGAAACTGAAGTTCCACTCAGGGCCCCCACCTCTATACACACAAACAAGCTGAAGGTCAATGCAGAAATGTAAGTAAAAGTAACTTTAGTCCATGATATTGTGTAAAGTCTTAGATATTCTTTTAGATAAATAAGTGATGGTTAATGCTAGCTCTGGGATCTTAAAAGATAGAGTAAATGTATCTTTTTGGGGAGCAGCATAAGCAAGAAAATGTAGTATCAATTAAGTAGTATTTGTGTGTCTGTCTTCTATGTTTGGAATGTTTTTTGGCCATAGATGTTCTCATTTTTTCAGGGTATGCAAGCACACTATAGGTAATGGAAAATACAAAATTTCATTTTCTCATCCTTATGGAAATGAGTGTTTTTCAATATCATTTGTAAAGGCCGTAAAAATTATCTAGCCAGGGTTTTCTAACGTATTTATTATTTTCTGAATTATGTAAACTTAGTTTGTTTAGAAGCTTTGCTCACAGGTGATTTTGTAAAGGGTTTGTACAGATTATTCTCTAGCCTTTAAAATTTTATCCCTTCACCTTTTTTGCCATTCTTTATGTACAGTATTAGTGTACTAATATGAAGTAGCTAATATGATTTTTTTTTCTTTTTCAGATGTAATAAAGAGAAGTTACTTTGGATTATTGCGGTGCTGTCTGTGGTTTGTGTATCATTCATGGCTTCAACCTTTTTCCTTCTGGTGAAAATGTCCTGTCAGCAGAGTAGAAGGGAAGGTAAGTCAGCACTACCTGTAATTGTTAATTCCAAATAAGGTGAGCAGGGTTTGCTTGTCCTGTATAGTAGTGTATTTGGTGGGGCAATTATTGTGTCAAAACAATATACAGTATACCCTGTACTGTATATGTACAGTATGTACAGGGGCCCCCCCAAATTCGCTGGGGTCAGATTCTCAAAATGACCGCGAATAACATTTGTGGACCCGGGGTACATTTTTACTTGTGTACAAAGAAATGTACAGCCCCCCCCCCAAGTTCGCAGATTTTTACTTCGAGGTTCTCGATTATTCGCGGATGACACCCTGGATGTACCCAAGAATGTCTGTGGGTAATTTTAATGTCTGCTTTTTTGCGGCTGGGACAGGGAGCCATTCGTTTTAGAGACAGTAATTTCCTTTACCTGTATTGTAAATATGTTACAGTCTACCCTCAAGTCCGTGCTCCATTACACTACTTTATTAATAGAGCACGGATTTGAGGGTAGACTAACATTTTTAATAAATTTGTTTCTGATTATTTGTGAGAGGATTTTCCAATTATTATTTATTTGTATGTTTTTTGTGGGTGTGAGTGTGTCTACAAACACACACATACATATACTCGTATACAATACAGGTAAAGGAAATTACTGTCTTTAGAATAAATGGCAAAATAAAAATCCGCTAATTATCCGGGCGTACTGTATGTAAGTAACTACAGATTTGGCAGTTCAATTTCAATATTTATTCCTTGATGGAGGAAGTGGGATCCTAGTGCTATCACTAGGTACCCCTGTACAATAACACCAAAAGCATCTGGCAAGTGTCACAAGTATATATAAATATTATAAATGGGCTTACTAAAGTTTAAGGAAGGAATGAAGGATATTCCTTTAACATCATCAATATTATTTACATAATATCTGGCCAGTATGGGGAGGAGCACCGTGTCTTCATCAGGGGGTCTTGGAGTGGTGGTCCAGCAGGCGTCACGGAAGCGTTGTGTGTGGGGACATCTTAGGAGGTAGTGGACAAGGGTGCGGCTGTCGGGTCTTCTGCATAATGCACAAGAGCGTTGCTCAGGGGATGCTAGGATACCAATCTCCCAAGCAAAGTCATACCCAATGATGATATGGGCAGCAATCACGTCCCTTTTCTGCGACCCTTTCCCATAGACATACGAGAGGTCAGGAAATTTACAGAGGACATCGTACCAGGTGGGCGGGGAGTCCAGGGGGATGGCTGCTTCCCGAGCTTCTCTCTGTTTGCAGCGAATTTGGGTCCTAAGTTGTAAAAGTGTTCGAGGAACAACGTAGTCAGGTGTGGCCTTGTTGTAGCCAGTCTTGGCAAGGCCATCTGCTGCCTCATTCCCCAAGATACCGACTGGGTATCCATAGGAATGTCACAGGATGGCCTGCATCCTGAAGTGTGGATGTTAACCCCCGTATTCAAAGGATGAGGTCCTTATTTTCCCCTGATCCAAATGAGATCCCATTGAGAGCAGACCTGGAATCGCAGCAGACAAGCAAGGCAGAAACCATCGGCTTCTTCCTCAGCGAGAAGGGCAGCAAGGAGGGCTATCAGTTCAGCCTGAGTGGAGGATGCCCCGTCAGAGACAGTTTGATAGGCTCAGGGGCATCAGGATGGGAGATGTAGACACCAGCCCCGGCCCTACCTGTAGCGGGGTCAACAGAGCCATCAGTGTAGAGGACGATCCTACCTGGGGACCAGTGGGCGATCCTGGAGAGGTGGTATTTGCAGAGAATAACAGGGTTCACATGGGATTTCGGGAGCGATCCACCAAGGGCAATCACTTCAGGTTGAAAATCCAGCCAGGGAGAAGGAGATGAACCAACAGCAGGGGTGACATCAATATCAGGCAGGAAGTCATGTTCCTGAAGGGCTCAGATGAGTGAGTACGAAATACAATAATCCCAATAATTGCATTTCTAGGGTCAAGACCCATTTCTCTCAACTGGCATACAATGAAAAAAAGAAATACTACTACCCCGCAATGCCTGGAGTGTTTGAGGAGCGCCAGCAGGAGATGGCTGACTTCTTCCGTGAATCTCTAGCCCAACCATTTACACGTGGCGACTACAAGGAGCTGGTAGAGCTTTGTCTGCTGCTTGTAACTAAAGGATCTGAGCCAGTGAACTTCACGATGGTCTACCCCGGCGCACTTCACGAAACAAGGTGGATGGCTAAACTGCTCTATACCCTCAAGATTGTTCTTTTGTCAGGCCAGATCAAAGAGTTTCCCAAAGCCGAGGTTGTGACTAAAAGTCAAATCAGCAAGTTAGAACGGTTTGCTGTGTTCACAGTCGCTGTTTATGTCCCATGGTGGATTGTTTGCCCCGTTCCAGCAAGTGTGCCACTGAATGACTTGAATTTGGTTGAAACCTTGGCTGAATTTGCCCCATATGACGCCACAATAGTTGACAAAGCACGTGTGGCACTCGGTAGACACACTTGGTACCTAACTGAGGAGTTGGCCCCACTGGCTTTGTTCTCGTCCCAAGTACAAGAAAGGACAAAAGAGGAGATGAGGAAGGCCCTTCTTTGCCATGAAGGCACTGAAGTTACTAAGAGAGTGGGGTTCAATCATGGGGGCTATGGAAAGCCATATCTTCCCCCTGTCCCAGAAAGTGGCACTGCCCTGGTGGACCTAATTGGGCCTGACTCAAGCTGGTTCTTCACCATTTTAGGCATGCCCTATCAGTTTCTCCACAGTCCAGCCAGTGAATGGGCGGATCATGACGACTACCTGAACATGAAACGGGTTGTGGACAAGCTTCAGGTCGTCAATGAGGCTGCAGAGCGTGGTGTAAAACTTTGCCATGACTTTCTTAATGTTGTCAGGGATGAGGAGCGCTTTTAAGAAGTCCTTCAAGTAGTTGAAAATGACAGACTCCGCGTTTCTAATCAGCGCAAACGATCATCTGTTTCCGAACAGAAATCATGGTTTCTTGCTCTAGAGAAATGATACCTTGTGAATATATGATAAAACCTCTTAATGTACCATGAGAGAATAAGAATGATTAACTTTTTTGTGTAAGTGATAACAGCTTTTAATTTAGACAGGCAAATGATTTGTGCTAATATCCCTTATGATGGTTGTGTAATCTCATATATAGGCGCGCATGCCGTATAAACAAAATTGCTATTTTTCAAATTGCTGGTGCTCACTCAAATATGCACGAATCTTAAAAAATTGCACGTGGGTATTTTTTATGTCAATATGCAACACCAAAATTTTGAATAGCATTGTAGGACAAAGTTGGGGCAACTGTCACACCCTAGTGTCCACTGAGAAGCCCCAAGGATGTTACGAGCAGCATTCCTCTGGATAACTTCGAGACGGTTGACAGCAGTCCGACTGATGTTGACGAGGGCAGGGGCGGCGTAGTCGACACAGGAACGGACAAAGGACTTGTACATGGTGAGGAGTATAGGGATGGTGGCACCAAGGGAACCCCTGGGCATGGTAGAGAGGGGAGCGAGACGCCGAAAACATATGCCTCGAAGATAGCGGACTTCAGTGATCTGACAACGTGCGAGTTACATACACACCCAGGTCTCATTAACCCAGTTCAAGGGCGTTCCTGATAAGAGAAGGGGGGAGGTACAACACGACCGTGCCACATGGCTTTTGTTTTTGCAGTTGAAAGAAGGAAACCAAGTGAATCACACTCTGGAGACCAGATCAAGGGCTTTCTGCATGCTGAGGTAGTTAGTGGCTTGGAGGAGGACATCGTCGGCATATCCTGAGTGGACAACTTCTGTCGGCCACTGGAGAGATGCAATGGAGTGCATGAGAGTGTTAAACAAGGTGGGATTCAGGACTCCACCTTAAGGGGTGCCGAGGTTCATTTCTTGAACAGGAGACATAGAGCCTTCAACGCGAACCCGGGCCTGACGTCCAGTGAGGTAAGAGGCGATCCATTGAAGAAGTCTTCCTTTAACCCCTAACCGCGCAAGTTCAGCTAAAATGAGGGAAAGCTGAGCCGTATCAAAGGCTCCCTTGATATCAAGGAAGGTTGAGACGCGGGCAGTCTGATTGCAATAAAAGGAAGCAATGGAGTGTGCTGTGCTGCAATGTTGTATGAAACCATTGAGGGAGTTGTGGAAGCCGCCTATGGTGTGAAGAAGGCGACGATGGAGTATCCTCTCCATCATCTTGCAAACACAGGAGGTAAGACTAATGGGTCGGTATTTTCCAGGATCTCCCGGCTTAGGGATGGGGATAATAGTGGCATTTTTCCAGTTAGACAGGAGAACCCTATGTTCATGAGACATATTGTAGAGAGCGAGCAAGGGGCTGTTAGGAATATTAGTACAGGCGTTGAGGATGGAGTAGGTTATCTGATCATCCCCAGGAGAGGTGTGTTTCCTAGAGCGATGAGTTCCGTCAAGCTTGAACTGTGTGATGGGATGATCAGTGGGGGCAGGGGAGGTAAGAGCAGCACGAACAACAGGCTCAGACACATCGATGCGAGCCTGCACTGTCTCCTGCATCAGATCTAGAAGTGCCTCAGGGGAGGAAGCTCGTGCCCAGTCCTCCATTAAAGAGCAGGCAAGGGAGGTGGGGTCAGGGTGGGGAGGAGGCCTCCGTCGAGTACCCCGTATAGCATTAATTCAATTCCATACATAAGAGGGTGACGACTGGAATGATAGAGACCCCGTGAAGGATAGCCAGTCCGCCTCACGAATCCGATGACGCTCCTGAGCTGCAAAGGACCACCAGTTTTTGGAGTCTTCCCAGTTCTCTGGAGAGCGAGACCTCCGTATGGCAGAGTGGAGATCACGGGTTACCTGCCGGAGATGTCTCACGGCAGGTATACGATACCAGTAGTTGGTGGCACTTCTGTTGTGACGGGGAGGGCATGGAGGGGCAGCGCGATTGACAAGAGTCATACACGGCATCAAAATCAGCGCTTTAAGAGTCAAGGGACTGGGGGACAACATAGGAATCCGTCCAGGTAGAAATGTATTGGATAAAGGAAGGAACAGCATCTTGTGTGAGACGAAGACGAGAGGATCGATAAGGAGCTGATGTAGGGGCAGAGAAGGAGAGCCTGAGATGGGTAGTAACGGCAAGATGGTCACTATACAGAGCAGGTTTGATGCAGACGGTAGGATGAAAGGAGGTATGACCGTTCAATAGTAAGCCAACATCAAGGAAACTATGGGGGAGGCG